CACACACACACACACACACACACACACTCCTCTCTCTCGCTTGGCTGCGCCGCCCTTTGTTCGAAGCCGCGCTGCAGCCCGAATGCCGAGACGGACGCGGTGCGGAGGCGTGAATATAAGAAGACATACGACGCTCAAGCCAGCCGGCGCTCACGTCCTCGCGATGCGGTCTAACAAATTCAAATTTGTCCGTTCGCCCTCCTGCTGCACGCCGAACAAGCTTCAAATCGGAATCCCCGCTCTCCACCGACCGATGCAGTGCAATGACTGAGTGATGAGATTGCGAACGAGATGTATGTGATGCGCCATCACGAGACCTGTGAAGCGATTCGCTTGGTGAGCGTGGCGCGCATAAAGTCGAGCACCGCCGAGCATGCTGTCAGGCACAGCTCGCGAGCCCGACCTAGGTCCTCGAGATCCACCGCGCCTTGCGACTCAGCCAGCACCTGCTCCGACACCTGTCGCGCCTTTGCCTCGTCGCCCTCACCCTCGAGCACCTGCGAAAAGGAGAAGGCAAACACGTGCGTGCTAAGCGCATAGTCGATCTCCACCGGTGTCGGGTCGAGCAAAACAATCGTCCTGCATGGTCGGGAAGCGAAAGGATGTGTACGTCAGTATACCTTTTCTGCAGTTTGGAATGCCCATCGCAGCTGTCACACTTACTCGCCGAGGTATCTCTTGGATGTTGCGCCGTTGGCGCGCTCGGCATCGGCATCGTCCTCGTCTTCGTCCATGTCCGCTTGAGCGTTCTCTTGCTTGTACTGGCGCACGAGGCCGGCCAGCTGCGACTCGGAAATCTCATCGAGGTGGCTGTTCTGCCTCAGCACCGTGCCCTGCGTTGCCGGCAAGATGGCGCATGCACACGCTGTCACGCTGCCTCTTGCCGGAATGCCTGCATCGAGAAGCGCCAAGCTGGCTGCATTGATCAACGCAGCCTGCTCCGTCACGCTCGGCGGCGCGTCCGGGCCCAACAGCAGCGGCTGTCGCGGCACGTATCGCTGATTCGAAGCCAAGTCCGACGGCAGCGTATGTTCGGACGATTGCGGCAGGCTCGGAGAGCAGAGCGTCTGAAGCACCAGCTGGATGAGCGATCGAGGATGGTGGTGCAACAGCAGCACCGACGACAACGCAGTCAGCAGCGAATCCGACACCGCCTGACTTGGAATGCCCGCCACCCCATGTTGCGGCTGAAAGACGACGTCGAGCGTCGCGCGATCCGTCAGCTCGTCTCGAACACGGACCTCGGTAGGCCCGGACACTGATGCAACCACGTTGAGCGCGCCAAACGAGAACGAGGCGCTCGCATCCGATCTTGCCAGCAGCCCAACCTCGGCAGACAGGGGTCGAAGTGCGGTGGGTGACGTCCTCTTGACCGTCGAAGCAGTGAATCTGGACGTCGACGACGATCCTGCCGTTGCCTTTGCTATTGACGGGGCCATTGTCTGTGTCGATGGCGAGAAGGGAAATGGAGGCCGAGAAGCACGGCCATGCAGAAAGGCAAAACCACCGAATCCCAGCTGGAAAATAATGTGGAAGCGAAGCGCGCCAGCCCGAGATCCGAGCCTTTGCACCACTCGCTCTCCGAGACTTTCCCGCAGCCCACGCGAGAAGTTCCGAAGAAAAATCAATTGGCTCGCTCAGTGCAAAGCGAGAGCCAACGGCGTTCGACCACCACCACCACCACCACCACCACCCTCACCCCTCTTCCTTTTCCAGAGGCTGGGTCGTTCCACGCCATGAGCTCAACACCTCCGTCCACATCGGCCGCTTCGTCCTCCACGTCGAGCGCGCCCTCGCCCGCTCCGGCTCCGGCAGCGGGTACAGCCACCGGCACCACCGCCGGCAACACAGCCAAGCCCAAGCTGCCACCGCGAGAGGTGCCGCCCATCCTGCGTCCGCTCGAGTTTGTCGGCATCCCCAAATCCGTGCTCGCCTGGAAACCGCGTCTGCCATCGCGCAACTGGTCCATCTTCCTCGTCACCGTCGGCACGCTCTCCTACCTCTACTACGACGACCGTCGCCAGTGCCGTCTCATCCGCCAGGACTACATCGACAAGGTCAGTCACCTCTCCAAGGAACCCATGAAGCCCGGCGAGTGGCCGCGCAAGATCACCGTCTACGCAACACGCTCTCCAGGCGACGACGACTACGACAAGGCCCTGCGCTACTTCAAAAAGTACGTCAAGCCCGTGCTCGTGGCTGCCGGCATCGACTGGGAAGTCACCAACGGCACCCGCCACGGCGGTCTCGCACGCGAACTGCAGAGCAAGATCCACGAGAGGAGACGCAAGCTGCTCGGCCTCGAGCCTTGGATGGATGAGATCACCGCCCTGTCCCAGAACCCGTTCTCGCTCACGCCGCAGCAGGAGCTCCAGCGCGAGATCGACGGCGGCCTCGTCCTGGTCGGCAGGCCGGCACTCAAGGAATGGGCTTGGGCACTCAAAAATGGCTGGTGTACACCGCTCGAAGTTCTCAAGAGGGACCGCGACGATGAGCTTGCGCGCGAACTCGCCGAGGACCACGCTTTCGACGAGCTCCCCGCCGAGCCTTCCGCGTCAGCATCCTCGTCCTCGGCTGCTTCCGCGCCTAGCGAATTCCTCGACGAGAAGGATAGGGCCATTGCTGCACTCGCCGAGACGGGCGAGGAGGACGGCGCTGGTGCACCTCTGCCTTCGCGCTTCGGCAACAACAGGTTTGGCTCTGCACCCTACGGGCTAGGCTCGGGACCCAACGCCTTCAGCGGCGTCATGGGCCCTTCGCCAGCTGCGCAAGCGCAGGCCGAGAAGCAGCGCGTCAAGAGCGAGGCCGAGGCTGTCGCCGCGCGTCTCGACCCCAAGCTGCTCGAGGTGCCTGCACAGATCCCAGCACAGCCGCCCATCTGCTTTGTCGACTTTACCAATCTTGTGGGCTGGCGCAACATCCCGCTTCGCATGTACCAGTTCTTCCGCCAGCGCGACAAGGTGCAGCACGGCGCCGAGCTCGCGCTCACACTCGTCTACGGCACCAAGGAGAGCGCACGCGAGTTCCAGCCCGGCCGAGAGGGCACCTTCGCTGGCGAGGTTTCCGACACGCCGCCGCAGGGAGGCGATCTGGACTGGGGCATTGAGAGCGAGCAGCGCTACCCGCCCTACTTCCTCAAGTCGGACAAGAACCTCGCCGAGGCACGCGAGAGCTACTACAAGGCGCTGCCCAAGCACCTCAAGGACGCACGCGACCTTGCACGCGGACTGCGCGAGCCTAGCAAGATCGAGAAGAACGATCCGAGCAAGACCGAGTCCGAGCTGCGCGAGGAACGCTTCAAGAAGGAGAAGGAGTGGCGCAATGCCGAGATGGGCTTCGAGATCATCCGCCCCAGCGCAGGCGTCGCGTGGGACGAGCGATTCCGTGGCAGCCTTCGTGTCTTGACACTCTCTGACGAGACCAAGGTGCAGATCAACCGCCAGCAGAAGCTGCGCAACGAGGCGCAAAAGAACGCCGAGCAGAGACGCGCTGCCGAGGACAAGCAGCTCAGGGAGGAGCAGGCGCAACGCCAAAGGGAGCTCGAGTCGCAACCACTCGAAGAGCTCTAGGCTGTCGCTGGTCGATCCTCATGTGGGCCAGATCACCACCAATCATACACCCCTTTCTCATATGGATATATCGCCCGTGCGTGTTGTCTGAGTCGGAGAGGTCCTTCGTGGTGCCATTGGAAAATGGACGTCTCAAAAAAGGAAGAAAAAAAAAGGAAAAAAAAAACAGGAAAAAAAGAGGCGTCCCGGAAACTAAGCTTCCCGTTGAGATCGGGCGATGGCTCCTGAGTTAAAAGGCAACCCATCTCGATTGGAGAGGAGGTGGAGAAACGAGAACGGGAGCGGCGCGGCGCAGAGACCAACACAATCGAGCAGACCTTCGAGACTGTACTCCACACCCTCCTACCTCCTACTTCCAGCCTCCAACCTCAAACACCGATCATCCTCGCTTCACCGCCGCCCAGCACCCGATTGACACCAACATGTACAGTTTGGCCTAGCGCGCTCCCGAACATCTCGACCTCGATTGTGGCTCAACGCCTCAGAATACTTCCCTTTGCTTTGAGGCGGCTGCCTGCACGTTCTCAGCATGTTCGAGCGCTCCCTCTCCGCCCTCATCAAGGGCTTGCGCTCGCATCGTGGCAAGGATGAGCCCAAGTATGTCGCGCAGGTCATGGACGAGATCCGCCACGAAGTGCGCTCCGGCGACCTCGAGGTCAAGGCCGAGGCGGTGCTCAAGCTCACTTACCTCCAGATGCTCGGCTATCCCTTCTCCGGCGCCAACTTCCACATGCTCGAGACCATGGCCTCGAGCAAGTACCACCACAAGCACATCGGCTACCTCGCCGCAGCACAGTGTTTCTCCGCCGACACCGACGTGCTCATCCTCTCCACCAACATGATCAAGAAGGACTTGCAAGGCTCGAACCCTCTCGACGTCGCTGTCGCCCTCAATGGTCTCGCACACATCGCGACGCCCGACCTCGCGCGCCATCTGGGACCCGACGTGATCAAGCTTCTCACACACAGCAAACCGATGATCAGGAAGAAGGCCATCCTCGTCCTCTATGCACTCATCATCAAGTCGCCTGACCTCCTCGAGACCGGCTGGGATCGATTGCGCGAGAAGCTCGACGACCCAGACCTCAGCGTCGTCTCTGCTGCGGTCAATATCATCTGCGAGCTGGCGCGCCGCGATCCGCGACCGTTCTTGCCCTTGTCGCCGCAACTCTTCCGCCTGCTCACCACCTCCACCAACAACTGGATGCTCATCAAGATCATCAAGCTCTTTGGCTCGCTCACCCCGCTCGAGCCGCGCCTGGTCAAGAAGCTCGTACCGCCAATATCCACCATCATCTCCACCACCCCCGCCATGAGCCTCCTCTACGAGTGCATCCACACCATCATCATCGGCGGCATGCTCACACAGCCCGGCGGCGACGACCTCGCAGAGATCTGCGTCGAGAAACTTGCCGCCTTCCTCACTGACTCGGACCAGAACCTCAAGTACATCGCTCTGCTTGCTCTGGTCAAGATCCTGCCAAGCCATCCGCATTTGGTCGCACAGCACCAGGACGTCATCTTTGAGTCGATCGAGGATCCGGATCTTTCCATCCGTCTGCGTGCCCTCGAGCTCGTTTCCGGCATGGCCGTCAGTCGCAACCTCGAAAGTATCGTCGGACAGCTACTCTCGCATCTCACGCCGCCCTCTCCGGCCAACGCCTCGGCCGCCGCCGACGCAACGGGTGCTGCTGCTGCTGCGCTCAGAGCGAGTCTCGCCAGCGGCGGGGCAGCAACGGATGCAGACCCTACCTCTAGCTCGCTCGCTGCCATCACGTCGGCCTACAATCCGACGCTGTCGCCCTCGTATCGCCTCGAGATCGTGCAGCGCATCCTCGCGCTCGGCAGCTACGACACGTATGCCAACGTCGTCGACTTCTCGTGGTACATCGACACGCTCCTGCACCTCGCCACCGTGCCCAACCTTCCCGACGGCAACGATGTCGGCGCGCGCATCCGCGACCAGCTCATCGACGTGACCGCGAGGGTGCGCGCCATCCGTCCGCACGCCACGCGCGTCATGGCGGCCCTGCTGCGAGACGGGCGACTGCTTCCGTCATCTGACTGGTCCGCTGCATCGGCAGTGCGAAAGCATGCAGCATCCAGCACAGCAGGCACGGGCGATGACATGCGCGAGACCCGCAAGGTGCTTCATGCAGCAGCGTGGATTCTGGGCGAGTACGCCTACGAGCTGTCGTCGCCCGGTAGCACCATCCCTCTGCTGCTCACGCCGGCGCTGTACGNCCTACGAGCTGTCGTCGCCCGGTAGCACCATCCCTCTGCTGCTCACGCCGGCGCTGTACGACGCCTCTGTCTGCGACGCCTCCACGTCGGCGGCGTGCGTTCATGGTGCAGTCAAGATATTCGCCTTCTGGGCCTCGTCCATCTCCTCGCGCTGGGCAGACGACGGCAGAAAACCGCAGGTCGACTTTGACGACATCGCCGTCGTCACCAAGCAGGTCGTGGCGCGCTTGGAGGCGGTGCAGACCATGACCGTGGACGCCGAGGTGCAGGAACGCACCGTCGAGTACCGCCAGCTCTTTCGCCTTATCGAAAAGGACCTCGAGGCCCATGCACTCACTTCGGCTGGGGCCGACAAGGCCGCAGAGGCAGAGGATCTTGTGTCCGAAGAAAAGCCGCAAGTCGCACACCCGCCGCGCAGTCTCGATCTTTTGTCGCCGCTGTTCTTCAATCATGCGCTCGGACCGCTTGGAGCCAATGCACAGGCGCGAGTCGCTGCGCCTTTCGATGTGGACCTGTACGCGTGGATCGTCAATCCGGACGCCTACGTCGTTCTGGACGGCATCGACCTGGCTGCGCATGCGGACTTTGACGAGGAGCCCACACCCGAGGCTTCAGCAGCTCCGGAACCGGCCAAGCCGTCGGCCAAGGAGTCCAAGGCGCAGCGCGAGGCCCGACTGCAGCGGCAGCGAGACGACCCCTTCTACATTGTCGATTCCGCGCGCCAGCCCTCCACAGCTGCTGGCAAGGGCGGTGAGAGGAACGATGATATGGATGACATCCCGATCGTGCGCCTCGACAGTCTGATGGACGCGGCGCCCGCACCGGCCAAGCTGCAGCCGCGCGTGCTCGAGGCAGAGGAGATGCCCGCCGACGTGCCTAAGCCCAAGCCCAAGCCCAAGCCCAAGAAAAAGGCTGCCAAATCCGCAGCGGCCCCGGCAGACGCAGCGGACGACGACGGCGCTGCGACTCCAACCAAGGTAGTGCGCGTGAAGAAGAAGAAGGCAGCCAGCAAACCCACGGCGTCCCAGGTTACCATTGACTAGACTTGGCGCTCACACTTGCACAAAGCACCGGGATAGCGACTACCTGGAAGAGGATGACATAGCATTACGTTCGTTCTATTTGCATCTGAATTTACATCTGGGTTTACATCTGGAAGCGGAGCACGGTGTAGAAGAGGACGCGATAGACCACGAGAATGATGACGAGGATGGAAGCGTACAAGCCGACGCTGAACGAATTGATCTGGAGCGCTTCGAGGACGTCTTCTCCACTGACGGCGCACATGCCCTTGCTGATCAGTGAGCTCGGGAAGGAGCAGTTGCAATCTCCCGCCGCGATGCTGCCCTGGCAGGCGAACGTAAGACCTCGGAGGTCGTTCTTGACGAGCAGATCAAAGGCGAAGGTCTCGTAGTCGATCCAATGCGCCCAGTAATACCAAAACCTCGGCAGATTCGCAGCACGGATAAAGTAACCCTGCACGCACATCCAGAAACCGTTGAGGAACGCACACACCGCCAACGCTGCCACGAAGATGGGTATCGCTGCTGCGATGAGAAGCGCCTGGAACTCGGCTGCGAGTACGCCGAGGTAGAGGAAGGCGAGGAAGCGGAAAAAGTAGCCCGCTCCTGGATGCAGGCCGATGGACCAGTAGACGAGCACGCTGAACAGCAACGAGCAGACGAACATCAGCGGGACGGTCGAGATGGTGTTGGCGAGCGTAAAGGCGAGCGGACCGTAGAGCCTGTTCTTGGATTCGCGCAGCATCACGGCGCGCTCTTCGAGGAAGGACGGGATGCCGGCTACCGCCATGAAGCCCAGGAAGGCGACCGAGAAAAAGTGCACCGAGAGGCGGTCGTTGATGCGCGTGTCGGTCTGGGCGAGGTTGACCCAGACGGTGGCGAGGAGGACGCCCATGCCGATGTACATGCCGAGGCGCACGCCGTACGCGAGCAGGTTGCGCGAGTAGTTGACAAAGTTGCGTCGCGTCAGCGTCACGGTTCGCGACCACTGCGATCCCAAGCCCGAAGTCCCCGCCGCTGGGGATTGCTCCTCGTCTTTCACTGCGGCAGAGGCAGTAGACGCGGACGGCGATCGTGCACGCATATTGGCTGCCGTCACGGGCTGAGCTGCATGTCTAGCCCACGCATCCGCAAAAGCCCTTGTGTCGCCCTTTGCAATCTTGCTTTCCACCGTGTCGTGCCCTGCAACCGTCCTGGTGGACTCGAGGAAGTCGTCGTTGACCAGACCGATCATGTGGTCTGCCGGATTCGTGTGTTCGGGGCATTTGTGTCCCAGTCCTTCGAACCACTCTGCCACGCCTTTGGTGGAGCCCTGATAGATGGTCCTGCCTTTGCTGAGCAGGAGCGTCTTGTCGAAAGCACTGAAGATCTCCCAGTTGGGACTGTGGATGGTGGCGAGCACCGCGATGTTGTGCCTCTTTGCGAGATTCCTGATGGCCATGACCACCTCGTGCGCCGTAAACGTATCGAGTCCGCTTGTGGGTTCGTCCAAGAACAGGATCCTCGGCAGTGTGACGAGCGAGCATCCGATCGAGACCCTCCTCTTCTGTCCACCGGACACACCGCGCTGGATGGGTGTGCCGATCCTCTGGCCGGCAACGCCGCTCAGGCCAAGATCCGCAATGACCAGGTCGGTGCGTCGATCGATCTCGTCGTTCGATGTGGAGGGAGGTAGCGAGAGCTTGGCAGAGTACCAGATGGTCTCGCGCACCGTGAGCACGCCCAGCAGCGAGTCGGCCTGCTCTACATAGCTCGACACGCTGCGCACGTCTTTGGCGCCGATGCCCACCGTCACGCTACCCTCGGTGGAGGTTTTGCGCGCGGATAGGACATCGAGTAGCGTGGATTTGCCCGCACCGGAGGGACCCATGATGGCCAGCATCTCGCCCGGCGCCACCGATCCCGACAGGCCCTCGAGCAGCGCCTTTTCCGTCTCGGGGGTGGCGGGGGTGCCGCGTCGGAACGAGAGCAGCGAGCGCTTGAGCGGGAGCGTGAGCTTGAGGTCTTGCCACACAAGCCCGCCCGCTGCCGCCGCATCGATGTGTGTACCAGCTTGCTGTGATTCGAGATCCTTCATTGTTGGTCGCGTTTGATCGAGTTGTTGAGGAAAAAAAAAAGGTCATCACCATCACGAAAGGTAGTCTATATACGTGTCTGCACTCGCGCCTGATCGACACACAGTGCGCGCATGCATTGCTCTGGCCTCTTCCCTGGGGATCACGGGCTGGCATTGCGAAGTTGAGCGGGTACATTTGTGCTGGCTGCCATGGAGCTCGACCGGACTTTGGCCCCGGGCGGATGAGCGGCAACATTTCTGTGCGCCGGCATTTTTAGCAGAACCTGGGTCTCGCTTTCGCTCCGGACCCTCGATCCTACCACACGCGCTTCCGGATACAGACGCCCGATGGACTGAGCCGACCAACGGATGGGAGGCGTGCGTGCCGGGGTGGGAGCGAAAGTAGCCGCGCATACGCCCTTCGCCGTGAGTCAGCCGTGGCATTGGGCTTAGCGGAGTGGCAGCGTCGGCCTGGACCGTGGTGTGGTCGGAGGTCGCCTGACGCGCCCCCCTGTTTTTCGCCGTTCAAAATCCGTCCGACGAATAGGACTCGGCTTCTCCTTACCCAGCGCATACACAGATCGACGGAGTGGGTTTCCTGTTCATGCCTATGCCGATTGCATCGATCAGCAACAAAGACTGTGCTTCATCCTTGCTCTTCTTTCCAGAATCGGATGCTTCGAAAGGGGAGCGGACGAGGTGGGTGTATGTCGTGTACCCAGATTCTGGCACCCAGCAATCCGGCTCGAGCTGCGTACGGCAGAGGCTCAGCTGCACGTGTGCCGTGAGAGCCCCTCTTTGTGGCCAGCCATTGCTCGGCTTGTCAGCCTGCCACGTCGATGTGTCGACACGGGAGCTCGCGCCAGGACACGAACCTTGCTCCTCGGATCTCCCTAGTCCCAAGTCCTCCTGACACCTGCGGTCCGTCCATTCCAACGTATTCGCCTCTAGTTAGGGTGAAAGATAGCGGACGCGCAAAGTAGCCGGCCAACTCGGCCACTTTTGCGGCACGCGCCGGTTCAGAGCGCGCGGCTACTTTCTTAAAATTCGTCGAAACAGTATTTGACAGGTTCCTGCGAGAAAAATTCAGTTTTACTGTAGCGCGGTGAATTTTTCGGTTGGCCCCCGAATCAAAGCGCGTGCTCTGTCCGCCGCTCTCCTCTCCCTTGGGCTCTGGTGCTTCGACCCATTCAACACCAGCTCGCGCCAGTTGCGCCAGCTTCAACCACTGGACGATAACGAGCAAGGTCCCCCCCTGACCCCTGGGATGACTCGAGGTCCTGGCAGTTGTCAGGAGAGCGGAATGGACACGAAAACGACTCGAGCTGTGTGCGTGCAAAGCACACTGGCGGGTGTGCAACGGTTTTGGGCGCTGCAAGAGTCGGGAAGCGCCATCCGATGGCGAGCCGTTATAAGGGATCGCTCTGGGACACGAGCACGCCATCGCCCATTTCCGAGCACGCCATCCACTCGCTACTACCGCCATCCCACACTTTGTAGTGTCTGTATTGCCCTCAACCTCCCCCTGCCCTTCCCCCTTTGGAACCCCTCCCCCGCCCTTGTCCTTCCGCTCGGAAGCCAGTCAATTTGGCTCAAGCTTTATTCGCCGACGTCGGCTGTCAATCCAGGCAGATCCGGAAGCACTCTTTGACGTTGCCACGCGAGCCGGATCGGCAGCCTGAAGGATCGACGCCCTGCGTCATAGAAGCACCGCACACCCAGGACGCACGGACAAGCACGGATATACACCACTTCCGCACTCCGAGTCCCCACCCGGCGTTCAAGAATTATCCGTTCCGCAAACGGATCCCCTCTGCCACTCTGGCATCACAGTACCCCGAGTCCTTTCAAAGCAAAGACATTCGCTGCTGGTATAAACAGGCACCCGCTGCGCTCGCTCGTCGTCCTTCTGAACAATCATGGTGGTGGCGCTGCTGAAAGCGATTGCGACGTGTGCGTCTACTGACGGGCTGTCGCTGTGCGATGCTCGCGAGTACCACCGAGCCAAGTCCGCATTCGTTTCCGCCAATCCTTCGTATTCGGATTCGACGCTGTCTGCGCTGCGCAAGCGCGAGTTCGCGCGGCTCGACGCGACGTCTTCGGTGTACCTCGACTACACGGGCGCCGCACTGTACCCTGCGTCGCTTGTGCGGGAGCATGGACGATGGCTGACGAGCTCGGTAGCGGGCAATCCACACTCGACGTCTCCTGCGAGCCTGCACTCTTCCGCCGCCGCTGACGAGGCGCGCGCTGCGCTGCTGGCGTTCTTCGATGCGGATCCGGCGGAGTACGATGTGGTGTGGACCAGCAATGCCACTGCCGGGTTGCGCATCGTTGGCGAGACTTACGACTTTGCGAACAAGACCATGCTAATTCCGCGCGATGCGCACAACTCGCTCAACTCACTCGCGCGCAAAGCGCAGCAGGGCGGTGGACGCTTCGAGTTTATCGAATTCGACTCTCCCTCTGGCGAAGCCATTTCTGCCCCGGCCTATCGGCGTGCGCTTGACACTGCCTCGACGTCGTCGGAGAAGGGCAGGGGACTGGTCTTTCTGACGGGCCAGAGCAACATCACGGGCGCCAAACTTGACCTTTCGCTCGTGCAGTACGCCCAGCAGCGAGGCTGGGACGTCGGGCTGGATGCGGCGGCACTCGCCCCCTCGACGCGCCTCTCGCTGCGCCAGCTGCCCGTCGACTTTATGGTCGTCTCGCTGTACAAGATCGTCGGATGGCCAACGGGGCTCGGCGCGCTCATTTTGCGCAAGTCACAGTACGCCAACCTGACACAAAAGTCGACCTTCTTTGGCGGCAATATTGTCGGCATCACCATGGACACCTTCGACTTTACCCTCGTCGATGGGCCCGAGCGCTTCGAAGACGGCACGGCCAATTTCGCTGCCATGGCGGCGGTACGACCGGGGCTGGAGTTCGCTGCGCGCTGGATGCCGCATTATACCGCACGAAACCGCATTCTGATGGCGTGGCTGATCGAGCAGCTGGAGGCGATCCATCACCCGGGGCGATGCGATGAAAAGACCGACTCTCCGCGCTCCTCGTCGACTTTTTCGCACAAGCATTCGGCCACGGGTGGGGCGAAGTTGGTTCGTACTGGTGGGCCCAAGGACCTCGACGCGCGCGGATCGACCTTTCCGCTGGTGCTGACCAGCGCCGAGGGGGATGCGCTCAACTATCGCTTTGTCATCTGGGCGGCGGCACGCCAGCGCATCAGTCTGCGCGGTGGACCATGCATGTGCAATCCGGGTGCAAGCAGCGCCGTCATGCAGCGCGGAACCATCACCGACTTGGCTGCATCCACGCTGCTCGCCGAAGCCGACGTGGGCATTGTACGCATCAGCCTCGGTGCGCCCACCAACTTTATGGATGTTTGGAGGCTCGTGAGGTTCCTCCGAATGCTCACCGACCCACAGTGGGTGAGCGCTGAATGGCGCGCATACGAGAGGCTGCATCCAGGTGCGAGGCTCAGCAACAACATCGACCATCTCCACGCCCTCGCCACGGGCAAATCTCTCTAATCTTGTCCGTCTGTAGAATCCGCGCCGAAATGGACTTTGTTCGCACTCCACGCAGCCGCACCGTGTGTTGAAAGTGACATTGGGCTTGGGCTCACTTTGCCTCGAGCGTGGTCCTGCTCCTGTTTGCGGTCTCTTTCACCCTCTTTGCGTCCCTAAGCACTCTGGCAGCTGCGGCCTCTACCTGTCTCTCTCCCTTCCACCTGCTCGCCAGTTCGCCCCCCTGGCTCAGAGCAGCAACGACGCCCGTCGCGCGCTCGTCTGCCTGGACGAGCCACTGGATGGGCTGACGCTTGTCATCCATTTTACCAAAGGGAAGGAAGCGCGGGAGGGAGCCGGACTTGGAGATGGCGTACATGGTCTCTGCCACGTGCAGCTCGAGGATCGACTGGTGGTGCGTGATCCAGAGCGCATGCAGCTCTGCGTCGCGCGTCGCGGGCGTAGAGGCTAGACGCTCCAGTTCGGCCGTGGATAGCTGGAGTGCCGACATCTGCGTCTGCAGTGCGCTTTGCAGCGAGGCGCCGGACGCCGAGCGCGCATAGTGCGCCGAGGATGCCACGAGCGCCGTGATGAGCGAGCGGGTCAGCACCGGCGTCGCCACCACCCCCACAGACGCAGACACAGGCTCGGGCTGAGCCTCTGTGCTGGGGTCCGACGTGGGCGCCGAGCCGAACCAACCGCGCAGCCCGCTTCTGGGCTTGTCCTTCGCCTCGGGAGCCGCGGTGGTTGGGCTGTTGGGTGTGTGCGCGCCCGCGGCGGCCGCGATCGCAATCGCCCTCTGCAGCCACTGTTGCGCGTCGTCATTGCGGCCGAGTGCGGAATGCAAGTCGCCCAGCTTGGTCGCCAGCCTCACCAGCCGACTCGATCGATCGCCGTGGTCCGCGAGGCTCGCGATATCGTACAGCTTCTCGTAGTTGCCAATCGCCGACTCCATCGCGCCTTTCGAGCCCTGCCTTTCCTTGACCGCCGCGAGTTTTGCCTCGAGCGCGAGCGCGAGTGGATCGACATTGCCCAGCGTTTGGCCTGGCTGCACGAGGCCGGCACGAATAGCGTCGGTTTCGGGCAGCTTGATGCCCTTGGAAGCGGCGATCTTGACGGCTACGTTGAGGTACTGCATTGCGAGGAGCATGCCGTCGTCTACACGCAGCTGCTTTGCGCTTGCCATGGACGTGATCGCCGTACGTCCGAGGCCTGCATTGCCCGCTGCTCCACCACCGAACAGGACGCCGGGCGCGATACCGCCGCCCCAGTTGACACACATCCAGGCGGAGCGCACGGCGTGTCTGCCCTTGATGCCCAGCCTTGGATCTGTGCCGCGATGCGCAGGTGAGCCGGACCACGACTCCTCCAATGCGAGCTCGTTCCATCCATACTCGTCGTTGGACGGAGCCGACGCTGCTTCGGCAGGCATGGCAATGTGTTCGACATACTGATGCGCCGCTTCGAACGAGACGAGCCCGATGGTCGCTACGCCGACGGCGGAGAACGTGATGATGCGCGCAATGCGCGAGAGCGTGTAGACGAACTGTGCGAATGGCGTGCCGAACGACTGCAGCACCTGCTGCTGGTTCGGCGCCGTCGAATAGCCGCGTCGGAAGCTAGGGCCTGCGGGCGCTGTCTTTGCCAAGTCCAAGATGTGTGCGGTGCGAGTGAGGTGCACAGCACGTGGAGCCGCGCTCGTCGATGCGCACGACACACGCGATGCACGCGATGCACGCGACGCAGCAGCGACTCGGGCGAGCACCGGTTTCATGCTGACGATGGAGGCCGGAGGGGATGATGGTTTCTGGCGAAGCGTTCAAGTCGTGGGTGGAGGAATGCAGAGGCGGCTGCTCCGGCGAGCGCGCCAAAAAAAGAGGGGTCGGCAATCGCGAGATCGGCCGTTGCAATTTGACCGATCCAACACCACAAATCTATGGAAAGCCGCTGCGCTCAAAGGAGCCGGAAGGACCGCGCTTTTCGGAACGCGTAAAGTGCGTTCATCTTTTGTTGCACGGACCCCACAGGCAGCGGTAAGGATTCATCAAGAATTCCAGACCGAGCATTCCCGAGCGTCTGTGAATCTTCAGGTCACCACACGTTTGCATCGGCACAACTGCCGCTCTAGTCGAGTCCTGCTAAGAAGTCGACGACAGTCTCGTTTCGGCTTGGCAGTTGGAAAGCGCGTTCGCTACATTGCCCCGTGTCAGAACTGGAGGATGGCCAAACTCAAGCTTGCCATGGTGGCGGCCATGTCGCTGACGAATGGCATCGGTAAAGATGGTGGGCTTCCATGGCGACTCAAGGGAGAAATGGCATACTTTCGAAACCTGACTACGCACGTGCCGGACGAGGACAAGCAGCGGGGCGTCCGCAACGCCGTCATCATGGGCAGGAAGACGTGGGCCAGCATCCCGCCAAAGTTCCGTCCGCTGAGTGGACGCATCAACATCGTCATCAGCCGCACGCAAAGTGCCCAGGATCTCGGAGTGTAAGTTGCATGCCTATGCTCCTCCGACTTGCTCGACTGCTTTGCGCATGCTAACACCTCCCCGCCTTGCCTCGATCTCATGCGATGTCCCTACAGCGACCCTGCCTCGAAGGACGTTCGGGTATTCGCATCGGTCCAGGATGCCCTGCAGTTCCTCGCCGGCCCACTCTCCGGAGATGCCGTGGCCATTGACAGAGTTTTTGTCATCGGAGGCGCACAGCTGTACGGCGAGTTGCTCGATTTGGACACCAGCATAGCGACGGTGGACAAGCTCTTGGTCACACGCATCTTGGCGCCCCAGTACGACTGCGACGCGCACTTCGCCGAATTCCGCACGCGAGAGCAACTGGACGCCGACGCCGACTTGGCCAAGAAGGTCGCTCCAGCCGAGGTCGGTGCACAGCTCGAGACGGTGCTGGAACAGCATCTGCCTCAACTGCTTGAGCAGTCGCGCTGGACGCAGGCGTCACCGCAGGCATTGCGCGACTATCTGGGCACTTCTGTTCCGGCTGCTCTCGCCAACTCGCCGGATATGGTGTCGCGCGAAGACGACACTTGGTATCAATACCAGCTGTGGATGCGCCAGGACTGAATCGCAAACATTCTCTTAGGTTACCGAGTGGGGGAGAGCGTATCTCTCTGCGTGGGGGCCGGGAAGTGACAGTGTGCGAGTGAGAGCGACATGGATCGGTCAGAGGCGACATGAGGTTCGCCGAGAGAAGAAACAAAGCATTCGGCAATTGGCAGTCGAGGAACGGCATCCAGGTTTGGCAATGTGACGGAACGGGGGGCGGACGTGCTATGCAGGAGATGTAATGGCCGGAAATCAGTTGGAGGCGGGCTTGCGGCAGACAAAGAGCATCATGGGGGTGAAGAGCTTGGTGCGGCCGCCGTCGACGAGCGCGTCGGCAGCTGTGACGAGCGATTCGCCCACCGAGTGGGTGCCCTGAGGGACGAGGCGCAGGGTCTCGAGGACCTTGACGGCGGTCTGCGTAGTCGCGCGTCCGATCTTGGTCATGCGTGCCACGGTGAAGTAGTCCCAGACGGTCTGGCAGTCTCGGAGGCTGCCGGCGATGGGGTAGTACCAGGGGATCTTGTCTCCGCGGTCGGCGAGGTCCTCCTCGTGCTCGATCTGGAAGCCGACGGTCTTGAGGGCATCGCGTGCGGCCTTGATGGAGCGCATCTCGGGGATGCCGTCGCCGACTTCGATGCCGTGTGCGATGCGCTTGTGCTCGGGGTTGGAGGCGTCCCAGGCGTCGGTCATGCACCACTCGTACACGCCAAAGATTCCGCCGGGCTTGAGTACCTTCTGGATCTGGCCGTAGATGCCCTCAAAGTTGGGAGCGTGGCAGGTGGCTTCGATGGCGTAGACGGCGTCGAAGCTGTTCTCGCCGAACTGCTCGTCGAGCTTCATGAAGTCTCCCTTGACGAACTCGACCTGGGCAGAGAGGCCGGCCTTTTCGGTGTACTTGCGTGCGCGCTGGATCTGGTATTCGTTGTTGTTGAGGCCGACGATGTTGACGTCTGCGAAGCGAGCGATCTCGCGTGCGGGGCCGCCGACGCCGCATCCGACGTCGAGGACGCGCATCTTGGGCTTGAGGCCCATCTGGTGTGCGAGGTAGTGCTCGTGGCGAGCGATGGCCTGCATGAAGGCCTCTCCGGGGTAGTAGCGGGCAAAGTGGAAGTTCTGGCCCCATCCGTACTCGTAGAGGTCGGTGGCGCCGTCGTAGTAGCCGTTGACTACCGAGGTGTACTCGGAGAGACGGTTTGCCATGTCGGTAGCCGAGTCATCCTTGGAGTCCTTCTGCCAGAACTTGGTGTAGTTGGCGATGCCCTCGTTGTTGCGGACGTCGGTAGCTGTGGGCGCCATTTCTGCAGGAGGAGTGAGGGGAGGTCAGTTGAGCGGGCTGGCGCAGGTGTTGCGTGCATGCAGGCGCAGTTACTCACTTGCAGGTGTTAAAGGAGTGTTGTTTTAGGGTATAGAAGGGAGATATTTAGCAGCGATGGTGGTGGTGATGTTGTCGAAGCGAGAGATGCGGAGTTGCCAAGGCAAGGGTAAGGGTGTTGAGGTCGGCCTCACCACCACACGCAGGTGCCGTTTGGCCTTTGCTGCTTGTTGGGTCCGTTGGGCTGCAGCCGCCCGCGAGAGACAGGGAGAGAGTGGTGGCCAGCGCGCCTCGCAGTTCTTCTTGCATGCACGCGGCTGTGGCGGCGGAAATCACCAGATTTTGAGTGCATCTGCCGGGGAGAGAGAGATAGAGAGGGACACACCCGAGCCCACGCACACACACACAC